GACAGCTCTCGTCATTTCCTCCTTCCCTGCCACAAGCCTTGTTTCCAGCTTCAAAGTGCACTAACATGTGATCCCTAGAAATAATGTTTTAAAATAAACATTCAGAGTATGTATGGAAAATAGCTGCTACAAAATCTTTTTTACATAAGCCATTTCAAACAAATAGGTTTGGGATTGATTTTCTTTTTTTACCCCAGTAACATTTCATCCTTCTAGAATATAAAACTGGTTGAGCTGATCCATCTTTACAAAAACTCCCCAAATTTAAGGAACTCAAGCAGAATGATACATGCCACTCATTAAAAAAATATCAGAATCTAACGATATGGTAGACTATCATTGGTTTTCCAAGTATTTACAGTTTCTGAAATGCTCTGTGTACTTTCTAGTTTAAATATCAATAGATTCTTTAGCCCACTAAGGTTTATCATGGTAAAAAGGTCCCATTTTCAAGCTATTAGGCAAGATGGTTTACAGATCACACAGAGGACAGATTAAGAGAGTGACTAAGAAAGGAGGTAATTCAGGCAGTCTCCCTTTTCAGTCTTCATCTCCACACTTTGCCTCGGGTAGCCCCCCTTTCCTCACCGTGACAGCTTTGGGCCTCAGATGTCATCAGCAAAAGCTGTAACATGGAGCAGCCAAGAAGACTGAGGCGCCAGGGAGATGGAACACCTGTGTGGATTACAACCACCTCAGCTCACCTAACAAAGGCCCAAAACCATGAATAAGGCAATTATCACTCCTGCTCTGAGACAGAAAATTTACATAATCCCTTCTGGTTTAACTCATTTATTTAACCCAAGTAATGGTAATCAGAAATCAGCCACCTGAGATAAAAGGAAATCTTGCCCCCTCTAAAGCAGATTTACCAATATCCACAAGCTATTTTACACATTGCTCTTCTTCCAAGAGTAATTAAGATGAGAAAAAAATACAGCAAATTAGAAGCCTTACTGGGACATTTTGTTCAAGGAAATTGGAGATCTTTCTTGACCTGTGAATTATTAAAGGAATCCTAAATGCCTTTTGCAGCTGAGTAAGTTCTTAAAACAAGATTTGGTACATGTGTGTGGGTTGAGGTGTGCCCTGCTTGAACGCATGCAAAGACCTTCTCCAGTGCCAGGGCTCAAGAATCTGCACTGAGCTACTTTGTGCATCAATATTACCTTCTTCCATATGGTTACTTTGAATGGATCTGTATGCAAAATTGAATATCATCTCCATATCCAGTTACCTTAGCAATAAATGTTATATAAACCCAATGAGAAAAGGCTTTTAAATTAATCTTGCTGGTTTACTCTGAACCAGTTCACTTGCTGACCAATAACCATAACCAAGTGCAAGAACTGTAAGAGGAACTTGAATCTGAGTATCTGGCTTTGTCTCTGACTACTGGTTAAATCATCAAATGAGGGTGATATGTTATTTTCTTCTTGAGCATTTCCAAAGACTGGAGAAACTTTTAAGGCGGTAAGCTCCCAAAGGGCAAAGAATCTCTGTGCCTATTCTTCTGAACGGTTTTGCTTGTGGGTTGCAGTGATCTAAACCAGGGGTCAGCAAACCAGAGCTCACAGGCCAAATCCTGAGCTAAGAATGCCTCTCCATTTTTAAATAGTTGGAGGGAAAATCAAAAGAGGAATGATGTTGCCCTGGCCAGTGTGGCTCAGGTGGTTGGGCACTGTCCCATGTACCAAGAGGTTGCTGGTTTGATTACCGGTGGAACACATGCCAGGGTTGTGGTCTCGATCCCCAGTGCAGGGGTGGGGGTGAGGGAGGCAGCCAATCAGTGTTGTGTTCTCACATCCATGTTTCTCTCTTTTCACCTCTAAAAAAATCAATAAACTATTCTTTAAGAAAAAAAAGAATATTTCCTGAAAGTGACATTTAAATGAAACTCAAATTTCAGTGTACATAAATAGTTTTATTGCAATGCAGCCGCCCCGACCTGTTTACATGTCTGTGGCTGCTTTCATGCTACATTGGCAGTGAGGAGTTGCAACAGAGACCACATCTCCTGTAAAGCTGAAAATATTTACTATCTGACCCTTAACAAAAAAAGTTTTCTGGCTTCTAATCTAGACAATTGCAATAGTAATATCAATTGACTTCCAATTATTCATCCCCATAGTAAAGTTTTATTTCCTTTATTAATGATCCTAAAATGAACACATTTAAAAATGTTAAACTAAGAAATAAAATCCAGCAGAGTGGAAGTTCTGGCAACTTACTGTGAACTCCATTTAAACATCTAAGAAATGAGTCAGATGTTGAGGCTTTTTTATTTTTTTAAGTTTATTCCCTTGGGACTTTTTCTTTAGGGCAACCCTCATTTATAATTTGGGCATATAAACCAGAGAAAATATTCATGGTTACTATAAAATAGATGTGAGGATATTTTAAGAACTCTGAAGATCTTCTCTACATATCTTTTATGTAAAAAGATAAATGTGAGCAACACACTAACTTTAAACTTGCCAATGAACTCATCTTCACATCTTAACTCCCAGGAAGTTTACTTTCCTGAGGAAGAGAGAAATGATCTGCACATTAGCCTCCCATTAAGAATGACCGTGAACCACAGAAAGTAACCCTATTGATATAAGTCAATGGACATTTGATCATATTGATTTTGAAAACCATAGTCAATCATGAGCCACTGCCTGGAAACCTGGAGACCCCAGTTGGTAAATGACTAGACCCAAATAATTCTTCCACATAACCATTTAAAACACCTTTTCACCTTGGGAAGGAAATAATGACAAAAGTCTACACAAAAATACTATGAAACATTTTTAATCCTGGAAAGGACTTGATTGCTAGTAACCAAAGAGGGGAAACATCAACAAGAATAAAATTCAGTCTTTTAAAACAAGTGAACACATATCAAATTGCTCAACATTGTTAAATGGCATGATATAATTTACCCATAGAAGACATGGTCTCATCCAATGGAAAACTGATTTAAATATATTTTGACAGAGTGCTAAGAGATATTATAGGTGGCAGCTGACTTAATGAAGTATTTAAGGCTTCAAAACTGTGCCTTTTAGAAAAATAATGAATAACAACTTCTACTACTTAGGGGGGAAAAGAAACAAATGTCAATTAAAAGTCACAGAAACATGATCAATTTCTTTAAGCCCTTCAGCATTCTACTGAGCTTTGCAAAGAAAAGACCTAAAACTAAAGTGAATTTTATAGCCAGGACTGGTTGGAATATTTTCCTCATACTTTTCTTTCTGTCACACTTCTTTAGTGCTTGGAATAAAATGACAACCACTGGGACCCAAAGGAAAAAGGAAGCTCCATTCCAAAGATAGGACTGAGCTGACAAAATCTATTTAATATCTAAAATTAGAAATAAATAAATTCTTCAATATCAACTACATTTTCAGAGAGTTCATTAAAATTTAAGGCATTTCTGACATGTCAGAGATTTCAGTCCAGTGACAGAAGAAAGAAGCTACCTGGGAGCAAATCCCAATTATCTCTATGGCTTGGGACATGCACGTTGCGCACAGCCAAAGATGAAGATAGAGTGACAGATGACTGTGCAGGAACTTCCTGACTCTGTCCAACTGTACAACTTTGCCAGGGTTCTTCTAAAGGGGTGCATTTCAAATGTGATTTCATTCATCTGTTTAAATTTTGACCAAAAATGGAGAAAGGCTCATAATCACTGTTCGTAAGATAAAAATGAGAAATGCCAAAATAATTTCCTTATAATAAGATTTTAAAAATTAAACATGAAAAAGGTTTATACTAAGGGATGCCCTCCCTTAATCTCACAACCAAAAATAAAATGGCAATATATTCATGAATCCAACAGTAGAGGTATACACAAAACACACACTCATTCAACAATAACAGCATCTTCCAGTGTTTTACCCACCAGCCAGATAAACACAATTATTTATTTGTCTCCCAGTTTCCACAAAATAAAGACACAACCTGCTAAATCAAAAGTTACAAGTCATACTTCATTGAAAGATATGGGGCAAAACATTCAACAAACCCTGCCCGTGTGCACTGCTTCTCTCAGCCAACCACCAGTCTTTTTAAAAAAGTGGATTAAGATCTATAAAGATTACTGTTAATTGGAAACAAACCAGAGCACTTACATCATCGATGCCCAGGAAAATCCCCTCTTTGTTAGTTCTAAAACAAATTAGAGTTTGCACAGAATTGGTCAAATCCAACTTCATTCAAACTTCTTTCAATAAAAATATTTAAGTAGTGCTAGTACTTATAATCTGTCTGTCATAGGAAATATCACAATTATCTGGATCACTTTTGAGTAAGAATACCACCACTTATTTCATAACTGCTCATGGTACAACCACATTCTTCTTATGAATACAAATATAAGCAATTTTCCAAAATTGAATTCCTGCCTTATTGACTTAAAAAGAAAAACTTCCATGGAAGTCATAATCCTCTAAGTCTTGTAGCAGAATGATAACCGCATAACCTTTGATGCTTGACATTGAGCAAATATCCCACTGCCATTTTCTGGAGACCACAAAATTATCCCATTACCTTTGTACAGTTATCTGTACTTGTACACAAGTCATCCCACTTTCCTTTTCATGAATTTGCAAGGTGATGTGCTAAACAAGCTTTTCCACTCATTTCAAATCATGCTTTAAGCATTACACAAACTGTTTTAAGCCATTTGACTTCTATGATAGTGTCACTTATTTGAATTAATGGAAAGTCAAGGTCTCTCCTTGCTTTTTTTAAAAAGATTCCTTCAATACTTCTAGTCAAATTCATCTTACCAGTTCCAATGAGAATGGAATTTCAAAGGCAATTATAAGATTCAACAACCCAAGCACATACTGACTCTTCTTAAAAAATTACTGCTTACCTAGGCTTCTGAAATCAAGGAAGATACCTCATGGAAAAATGAAAAGTTTATTGTCTTTCTTTTTTCACCATTTTTAATAAAAAGAGATGTTTTAAGGTTTTGTCAGGAAAATAAAAAATGGGAAAAAATAACTATACCTTTAAAAATTTTTCAAATCTTCCCCAAAATATAAACAAAGAAATGACAAAGATGGATTCACAATGCATATGCTGACATCTGCTCTCCAAAACACACTTTTTATGTAGAAGTTATAAACAATGAAAGTTTCCCATTAATTCTATGGCATGCATCAACAGTGCACTGGTGGGCTTAACCTTGGTTTTCAGTTATGTGTATATACAGATAAATCTCTTCCTGAGTTGAGCTTCATCTTCAGTTGAGACCCAAACCATCTGCTTTCCTATTTTTGGCAAGATACTTGACCATGTGATAAGGCAATCAAACATTTCAACCTCCTTCCCTTTTCAGCGGCATGGTCCTTTGTAACATCACCAATGTGCTGGGTATGAGGACAGGCTCTAAACTATGGTCCTGTAAAACTAGAGAGCGGGTTTCTTTGTTCATCAGTCTGAAAGCTTCAGCACAGTCTTTTCATATATTTGGAGATCTTGAGGACTTCAGTTGAACAGATTCAAAATGGTCTTCTTTTTCCTATGAAGGGCAAATATTAAAACAAAATCAACTCACTAAAATTCCAGTAAGATTTTAGGATCTTACATGTCCAAAAGGAAAGTTCTGGCAGTCATTTTAATCTATGTACCTGCCAATCATAATTACAATTTTATATTTAAATAAGGGTGTCAGATATAAAACAGATAGCATGCCAGCCCTGAAGGATGCTTTTGATAACCAGGAGATAAGACAGACAATCCAAAATAGAAGCAAACACATGACTGCAAAAGATGTAGCTGTGATTCTTGTGAAGAAACCACCAAGATCTTCCTAAGGGGGCATCTGACCTGGGTGCTGAAATAGATGACCTTGTCATGCAAATTGTGGACAAAATAGAACTGACAGAAACTAAATATTCTCAAGATAACATAGGCTAACTAATAACAAAAAGGCTGGCAGAAATAAATAAGGTAAATACCAGTAAGACATAAAATCATTTGTTTTAGGAAAATCTTTTGGGTACATATATGCCAAAGACATTAAAAATAAGTATTCTTTGATAATAAACCAAAAATTTAATTCAAATAGATCACTACTGGTGTTTGTTATATGACACATTCAAAATGTAGCCTGTTATACTGCCATTTGCAACAACATGGATGGATCTTGAGAATATCGTGCTAAGCAAAATAAGTCAGATGGGAAAAAGAACCATATGAATTCACTCATGTGGGATATAAAACTGAAAGCAACAAATGAACAAACAAGACAAAAAAACAAACAAAAACTCATAGACACAGACAATAGTATGGTGGTTACCAGAGGGAAAGGGGTGAGGGGTTAGTAAAAGATAAAGGAAGTCAAATATATAGTGAAGAAGGAGAACTGACTTTGGGTGGTAACACACAATGCAATAGACAGGTGATGTATTACAAAATTATACACTTGAAACCTATATAATTTTATTAACCAATGTCACCCCAATAAATTTAATAAAAAATGATTTTAAAATATAGCCTATCAAAATAAATTATTCTTCTTTAATGGGGTAAAAGAGAAATAAGAGGTGTAATTTCTCCCAATGTTTTCACTGTTAAAGTCAGAAAGAGTTTTCTGAAGGCTGCTGGAATGAGATGGGGGAACTAAGCTATCAAAGGTAATAAAGAGGAAGAGAACAAGGATTATTTTAAAATAAAGAAAACAGGAGGCAGAGCAGCCCTAGGTGTGTTCTAAAGTAGAGAGACAAAATGAGAAAATACTAGGAAGTTGACATTGCGTGTCAGGAAGAATGAGGTTGCTTTTGTTTTCTCTCGTTTGAGTAGAGAAGTCCAAGACTTCAGACAAGCTTTAAGGCTACAGGGACAGGATTATAGGGGGGAAAAATCACAGTGTGAGCACCAACATATTGCTTTTCCCAGCCTTTGCTGAGATGATAAGTCCCTGGAAAAGCAGACTGCAAATCTCAGCACACTAACTCACTGGCTCTGTGAGAGCTTGCCTGAAGTCTCATGTTTACCAGACTTATTTTGTTTGGAGTAACCATTGATAATTCAAATATTTATTAAGCACCCACTGTGTTATATAGAAACAGGACTAAACTTTAGGGATACAATATGTCTGCCCTTAACGAGCTCAAAGTATATTACAGGAAAGAGCTTTAGGGTATAGCCATGAACTAGAAAGGAAATCTGAGATTTCTGTGATCTTTCCTTGAGAAAATTTGATTCACATGTTCCTGGGAGGAGCGGAGAAAGAGACCTGTTGATTAACCTCAAGGTAATATTTAAAGTAAAACATTGAGCCCAGCCGGCCCAGCCGGGCGTGGCTCAGCAGTTGAGCGTCAACCTAGGATCCAGGCGATCGGGGTTCGATTCCTGGTCAGGGCACATGCCCGGGTTGAGGGCTCGATCCCCAATGACACTCTCATCATTGACGTTTCTGTCTGTCTCTCTCCTTTCCTCTCTGTCAAATCAATAAAGATATATTTAAAAAATCATAATAATAAAAACAAAAAAATAAAGTAAAACATTGAAAACCCTGTATAAAATCATGTGAGCTTCATAGGGCTTTAGTTGCTACGTCTTCTGTGTTCACAGGGGATTTTGCTCCTATCACTGATATGGTGGGTGCGCATATATGTGTGTGTTTGTGTTTGTGTTTGTGTGCATGTGTGTATAGTTAGCACCACTAATTGATTGAATGGGACTTCCTGGTGGCAGGAATTGGATCTTGTTCATTTTTAATTCCTAAAACATGACCCAACACCTAGCACACAGTAGGCTGTCAATCAATGGTTGTGAAAATGTTTGTATGAAACATCACATTGTAGAAGGAAAAACACTGGATTGGAACTCAGAAGATGGGATTTCTAATTCCTATCTAACTCTCTCGGACAAATAAGTGAAGCTCTTTCGGTCTCAGTTTACTCATGAGTTAAATAAAGATGCCATACAAAACATATTTTTAAGCACTAAATTCAAGAATCTACTCAAAATTCAACTTCTCCCAGTAGCTTCCCTTTACCTTGTCACTAAACACCTTACTGTACTCCCTTCTCCTCTGTGCTCCAAGAGACCCTACTCAGTGTTCTTAATATACTGGATGATCGTGTGTGTGTGTGTGTGTGTGTGTGTGAGTGTGTGTGTGTGTGTGTGTGTGTGTGTGTGTGTGTGTGTATGATGTGCATGAGTCCTCCACCAATAAACTACATCATCTCTGAGATACGAAACTGTGTCTAATTTGGCATATCACCAAGACCTGGTGGAATGTCTAACACAGTGTCCCATAAGTGACTGTGAAATAAAGAAATAAGGGGAAAAATTTTTAATTGCTATGAAAAGTCAAGAAAAGCAAATCTATAAATAAGACCCACAAGTCCAATAGATTGGTAGGAGATACCAACTAAGGCATAGCCTTTAGAACATGAATAAGAATACATAAGATTAATAAGCAACCTTACATGCCATAGCAGTTAAGATACATAAATATTTTTGCTCCATGAAACCATGCATAACAAAAACTTTTAAATGGGACATACAGTAAGACTTGTGCAATGATATTTATTCATAGCTAAACACTGGAAATAGCACAAGTATCCATCAACAGGAGAACAAACAAAATTTGGCATATCCATAAAATAGAATTCTACTCCAGAATAGATAGGAATCCACTGCAGGTTAACACAAGGTGAATGAATCTCAGAAACATTTTTCTTGTGAAAGAAAACTTACACAAAATACAACACTGTGTAATTAAAATTATATGAAGTCTAAAACAGATACAACTTATGTATAGTTTAAAAAGAGCATTACAGGCATTACAGTATTTTTCTTTGGGACATGAGGATGGGGATTGATTGCATACAAAGGACATGAGTTTATTTTCAATGGTGAAATTAATGTCCTATATCTTAACAGGATTTGGGATTACACAGGTATATGCATTTCTCAAAATTCATCAAATCATGTACTTGTGATGTGTGCATTTCACTCTATGTAAACATTTTACCTTAAAAATAAAAATATTGTGCTGGCCAGTGTGGCTCAGTTTTTTGGAGTGTCATCCCATGCACCGAAAGGTCATGGGTTTGATTCCTGGTCTGGGCACATACCTAGGTTGTGGATTTAATCCCTGGTCGGGGTTCGTACAGGAGGCAATAGATTGATGTTTCTCTCCCTCTCTTTCCCTCTCCATTTCTCTCTCTCTAAAATCAATTTTAAAAATATATCCTCAGGTGAGAATTTTAAAAAATAAAAAAATAAAAATAAAAATATTAATTCTCTCATCAATTATATGTATCCTAAAGTGCTTAGGGGTAAAATGTATTAAAGTCTGAAACTTACTGTGAAATGAATAAAAAATTATGTATTCAAAAACAGGTAGAGAGGTGGAGATATGTAGAGATACATAATAAAGAAAATATAGTAAAATTTAGGTGGTGGGTATATGGTGGTACCACTGTATAATCCTCTCATGTTTTCTGTAATATTTAAATTTTTCATTAAAAACTATTTTAAATTATTGTATCAACTAAAATTGCTATTCAAAACAAAACACTAACACTGTATACTGAACCTTCTCAAAGAGAAAAACTCTATCCTACATCTCATTTCCTGTGATTGCTTCCAAGAACCTTTTCAAGCTTTCAGTTCTCTAGCTATAAAATAACAATAGTGGAGGTACTTCAATATGAGGAAACACTTAAAAGTTTATATAATACTTAATCTACACTCTCCCCTAAATAGTTCCCACTTATTCTTTCAGTTCAGCTTAGAAGTCACTTTCTCTTAAAAAAATCTTCGCTGGCACCTAAATGCTCCTTTTATTATAAGACAACACCCTTACAAATAGGAAATCACAAGATCAAAATAGGTGAGAGGTCTAAGTAAACTGATGATGGAAGGTAATTCTCCATGGGTCTTGTGTTTCTGCATGTGTTGTGAGGAGACACTTTTTCCTAGATAATCATCTCAAAGATGTTTATATACAAAAGCCTTGGATGGTATAGATAATGTCTCCTACTAAAACAAAGAAAAAGTTTGCTTATCATCCTGAAAGCCAGAGGTAGTATCTCCCCCTGTGAAGCAAATGGCAAACATGTTTACTGCCTCTTTTAAAAGACTCAGGTTCCCCAAACTAAGGGCTCCTCTTCTATACCATAACCCACTGTGTATACAGGAAGCAAAGCAAACATTGCCATTTTGGGTGCTGTTTCTGCTCTGAGTAACAACTGTATTTTTGTCTCTGACCCGGGAGACTCACACCTTCAAAAGTGTCCATAAAACTATGGCAAGTTAATTTGTTGGCTAGCAAGTCAAATGAAATTTCCTAACTCCCACAGTTCACTTTTTTGCTGGTAAGGATGGGAAATTGATAGAGAGGTGTCTTTCTGGAAGAGAAAGGATGACAGCCCCACATACTGGTTAACAAGATTTGAGAAAAGTCCAGGATATTGGTAGCAAACATGTTGAGCAAAATACACAGTCAACAAGGCATTAAAATGGTCCTCTACTTTACTGCCTGGAAATGAAGAGGAACTG